GCTAGTGGGTTTGAACCACCAGCCTTCTGGTTAGCAGTCAAATGCCTTAGGTACTAGCCACCAGAGCTCCCAAATACAGAGAAGTACTTAATAAAGGTTACTGACATTGTTCTTGCTAAATTATTTTTTTTCAGTCTTCATTTTCCTTGATCTTTCAATAACTTCTGTGGTAGTTAAGTTTGTGTGTCAACTTAACTGGGCCTGGTGGAGTGGCTGGGCAGCTGGATGAGACTGGTAATCAACTCCATGGTGGAATCTACTCTGAGCAGCTGAGTAAGCTGCCTTTGGGCTGTGGTCTGCTTCCTGTATATAGGGAGAAACCCTTAGGGAAAGGTCTCTAGCATATGGCATGCTTGGACCCTGCAGGTAGCCATGTTCTGCCGACCTTGGGATTGTCAATGTACTTAAATTAATGGCCTGCCATCTGTTTGGTAACATCGGGACTGTGCCATTTTATTTGTTGACCTTGGGCTTGTTAGCCTCAGCAGCCAGTAGCTGCCTGAGTGAAGAGATGTCTCTAGCTTCAATGGGCCAGGAGCAAGAGGCAGAGGTGAAGCCCAAGGTTGAGGGGCTTTCACACAGCCCCTAGAGCCTGGCACTTGGAACTCGGACTTCTAGCCTCCTGAACTGTAAGAGAATAAACTCCTGTTTAAGCCATGCCATTTGTGATATATTCTTGTCAGAACGGCACTAGGTAACCAGAACAGCTGCTAATAGTGTATACTCAGTCCCAATTCTTCCTTGCCCTTTATGTTTCCACACACTCCTGGTTGTTCCTCCTGCTCTGGACATTTCATATCTGTTCTCTTAGAGTCATTCTCTCTACCCAGTTACGAATACTGCAGATCTTCAAGATTTTACCCAGATCCTGATTACCCTCTTTCATGCTATAGTCTAATCAATCCTGCCCACAATTTGTTTCAATTACCAACAGAACACTGATGACTCACAACTTTGTATTTCCATTTCAGACTTCTCAGAGCTTCAGACCCATCTTTTCAACTGTCTCCTTAATATTAACTGTCTCCTTAATATCTCTCCTTGCATATTAAGGAACCTCTACCTTAACAAGTCTAAGATGCTACTCATGAGTTTCTGAGGCTGTAAATCTTTATGGAAGCAGACCGCCCAGTCTTCCTTCCACGGAGCAGCTGGTGGGTTTGAACTGCTGACCTTCCAGTTAGCAGTCAAGTGTTTATCCACTACAGCACCAGAGCTCCTATATTCCCTAAAAATTCTCTCATGTTCTTCCGCACCTATTTTCTCGACTATAACACCAATTTGAAACGTATCATCTCTCACTGGAAATATACTTCTTAACTGGTCTCCCTGTATCCACTTTGTCCCCTTCTAAATTATGCTTCACGCACCTACTCTAAGCCCTTCCAATCATTCAAAACACTATACCTATACTTTAGTTAAGCTTTCTGTACTTCTTTATATACTAAAGACATTAAAAAAAAAAAAAAAAATAGGCCAGTGCTTGACATTTGTTGTTGTTGTTGTTGTTATGTGCCATCAGGTCGGACCTGACTCATAGCGAGCCCTCCTTGGGTTTCTGAGGCAGTATCACTACGGAAGTAGATTGCCCCATCTTCCTTCCGA